TCCCTTCTTGCAAACTCCTCCATTTTCCTTTTAATCTCTGTTTGATGGAGACGCTGTATGAAGAGAAGCATGCAACAGTTGACAGGTTTTTTTCTTAAGTGATTGATTATGAATGTGAAACACTGTGTTCCTCCCACCTCCATCTCCAGCACCTTGTGGAAAATGGCCTGAGCCAGGCATTCTCGCACGTGCCTGTGGTGAGCTCCCTGGATCAGCTTATGTCTGTATTCTCTGTCTGGAACGATGCGCCCACTTCTGGTGATCTAATAACAACAAGAGTCTTAGCGGGGTTCCATCAGTATGGGTTTTGTGAAGACTGATAACAATGTTTTCTTACTGACATCACTAACAGCTGATTCTTTGTGCAGGACTGCAAAATTAACTATTATCACACCCACCATTTGCACAGTAATTTGTGTAAAACTGTAGAGTGTCATCATCATCATCATTCTGTTGACGTACCAGTCCTGCTCTCTGCAGATGTCTCCTGATTCGGGTGTTGCTGAAATATCCTGTGAGATGTTTGTCTGTGAGGCTGTTGTAGGCTGATAAAAGTCTGCAGAAGCAAAACCATTAAAAACTAATCACAGCCCAACCAATTCCATCACAAAATGAGGACTTGTTTCACAGAGGACATCCAGAATTTAAGCTTTTTCTGCCACAACTGCAAAGGTCTTGATTCATCCTGCTGCCGGAAGAGCAGGATGTAATCAGATGGGATCACTGGGGAACAACATCGTGTTGCTTTGTTAGCAGTTGTTTCTTGTCTTCATTAACGAGACATCAGCACACCTGAAGGTGGCTTTTTATTTCCAACACAGATTTGATTTCAACAGGATCTAATGACGACAGGGTCTGTTACAGGTGTCTGATTACAGACAGGAATTAGAGGGGGTGACACACTTAACCCTGTCGGCCTCCTCTTTGTCTCTGGTGCGCTTCAGCTCAGGCTGCAGATTTCTTGTTGGGCCTACTATAGCTTGTCATTTTAAACTTGACTCACTCTGTCTCAGTGATGCTTTGAGAAGACACATCGCACAGAAATACTCTACAGCATGTCCTACTAATGTGCACGCAATGATGCCAAAAGAGTGCACCAATCTGAGAAATGTTCAATCTGTTTCTGCTAGTTTTTCTTTTCTTCTCAGATCTGGTTTAGTGTCATTCGACATGGACTTTGCTATATTTCAGAGGCAGACGTACTTTTACTCCACTTTTTAGAATCAGATTAACAACACAAAATTCACAAGATTCCCAGCAATATGTAAAGTAATTTGAATTACAATTATTAAATTAAAATATAATCATCAAAACAGCATATAGTGTAGTTAAAATTAGTTCAACATAACAGTGATGTACACAGTAATGCATTAATAATTTGAATCCATAATCCATACATATAGAGTGCTTTTACCTTTGGACTTTTATTTGTAAAAGAGTATTTTTATACTGCAGTAGGCTGTTTCTACTTTTACTTAAATAAAGCATGTGAATGTTTCTTCCATCACTACATGCGCTAAATTTGTTTGACAAGCTGAAAAAGGTCACATAGACATAGAGACTGTAGTACAGCTCGCTAGAAAGCCTGCAGCCCCCTCCAAACAAAAATCCAATTGTACCTACCCTGGGTTGAGGTGACTCATGATTTTCAGATCACACTCTCTTTAAAATCCTCCAAAATAATCCAGGAAAAGAACAAAGCTGTGGACTGTGCTAGGTCCTCGCCAGAAAAGATAACAAGACCAGTATCAAATTAAATTAGGCAGCAGAGCAGTTGGTTGTCAGGTACAGCAGTAAATACTGAGCTGATCCGGACTGAAGCTGCACTTCTCTCGGAGCAGAACTGATGACACTGGTTGCCATGGGAGATCACATGACAAGACTGGTTTCCACTTACACAGAGAGAGTCCCAGTAACAGTAAACCAGCATACACTGACATACGTACACTCTCAGCCACATGCTCCTACACTGATATCTGTCATTAAACCTTTTGATTCAAGAGCATAGAGCCATCTCCTGGTGTTTAATGCCAGCGTTCTCACTTTATTAAATGTGTTTGATTTGTAATCAGATGTTTTACTTAAGTGAAGTAGAAATACTATATTGCAAAATACAGTGGCAAGAGAAAGTATGTGAACTTGTTGAAATTTCATGGATTTCTGCATTAATTTGTCATAAAATGTGATCTGATCTTCATCTAA